CTGCGAACATACGAGGCACTGGAGTTCATTCAATACGATAATCTGATTGGCCTTCGCCACCAACTGCAGGCTTTTAAAATTTGAACATGCTCAGAAAAGTGCATATTATTATCATTGGACATTTCTCTAACAGCGGAGAAAGATTTGATTCAGGTGAGGGAACGGTGTGTAGGCACGTCATGCTCACTAACGAGGGAATCAAAGCGGTGAAGACATTTTTATCCGTAACGGTCGCGAGAAGTCATGTCGCTCCACCAGGAAGAGTCTGTCCGGGGGTCAGTTTTGTAGCACAGACGGACGGACGGACGGGGGGCTATAAACCAGAGTTGTGCAGGTTTGGGATGGGGTAGAATTTGGATACTCGACTCTGGGTGCTGGGGTTAAGGCATTCGGATTCGCCGGTCATCTTGAAGAAGACCTCCTGCTCCTGGAGCTTCCGCGTGAACTCCTCCTCCAGCGCCTGCGGGGGGCAGCAGATACAAACAACTGAGTCGACCGCTGAGACGATTATATCACAAACAAACCAGACAACCGGAGACATTCTTACTCCCGACTGTAGATGGAGTCAGTAAGAGACAGACATTCTTACGTCACAGAGTGAATGGATGTTAAATATACCTTCTTCCTGGGTCTTAGCTTCTCTCTCCACTCCCTTATCTCTTGGCTGTGCTCCTCGTCCAGCTCCTTCAGCTTTTGGGTCTCATGTTCAATCAGAAGGTGGCATTTCTCATTCTGAAAGAAAAGGTGGGTCAACGCATGTCGCTTCAGGATAAATGTGCTGAGATCAAAAATAATTTCCTCTTATTCTACTGCTTTCCTCACACTTTTTTCTCTAATTATCCTTTTATAGATCTAGGTATTAAAGAGTGTGCTAGATGACAACGCAAGCTCCATGCTGTGTGTGCAGTGTGTGTGTTGTGCGCTCACCTGTAGCTGCTGCAGCTCCCTGATGTTTGAGTCACACTGCAGCTGCAGATCCCTCATCTGGTTCTCGTGTTTCTGGTGTTGATGGAGCCTCTCGTTCTTCTGCCTCTTGTCTTCCTGAGATGCAAACTGGACCAAGCAGGCACAAAGAACACAACTGTAACAGCACCTCAAAACCAAACAAAGCTACTCATTGATTTGTCTTTTTCGCAGAAACGTTGTGTTTTGAAAGGTTATCTGCACGTGCTGCGGACACAGAGCTATTGAAAGGACAAGTGAGGGACTCGGCCATAGAGTGATCCATTTCAAACATGTACTACACTGATTGCAAGGGCAAAAAACATACATTTTTGTAAAACAACAGCAGCAGCGTGAGTCCACAGTGTCGGTCACCTGTTTTATCCGCTCTCTCTCCTGCTCGGGCGTCACGGCTGCCGTGGCGGTGATGCGGATGCTCTTCTTGAACATGGCCATGCGGGTTTTGGCATCGCTGCGCTGAATCTTGGGCAGACGAACCCTCTCTTGAGTCTGCTTGTTCTTCATCTCCTCTATCAACCGCTGGTTGTAGCGGTGCATCTGCTCCATCTCCTATAAAACACACACACGCACACATCGTTCAGAAGCTTCAATAAAATACGACTTTACTCTGAGTAGACTTCTCTCCCAGCTCTTACTTTCTCATGCCTCTTCAGCAGCTGGTGTCTCTGCAGGAAGTACTGGTCCTTCAGCTGCTGCTTCAGCTGCTGGTGCTTCTCCTGCAGGTGGCGCTCCTCTAACTCCCACATGGCCGCCTCCCGAGCTACAAAACAAACACAAACACACACACACACACACACACACACACGTGCGCATACAAAAACATCCCATGAGGCCACGTACGTGTGAGGTACATGTTAGCTGGTGACGATTGGAGCGATGAAACCAAGACGAACGGGAAACACGGTCAGCAAGTTGGACGAGCTGCAACACGTCTGCATGTCGCAGTCAGTATTTACATACTTTTATTCGTCTGTCTGTTACGTGTCTTGAAACCTACACAGGATGTTTGAGTTCAGCTGGTCGCCTGAGAGTTAATCTGTCTCAGCGTTTGTCAAATTGAATGGAAATGCACCGATTAAAACCAAAAGTCTGCTGACGTGGTGCCTTCAGATGTGTTGAGAGGAAATCAGAACCAGCACATGAACGACAATCGCATGCTTTCATATGCGCCGTTATAGTAAAAGGGACAATGTAATCCGCCGAGTAGCACTTCCTCCGTCTCCTACCTCTCATCAGCTGCTGCTTGTGGTTCAAGCAGTCTTTCTCAATAGTGGTGATCTCCAGTTTATGCTGCTGGATGATTTTCTTCAGAGCTCCGTCCAGCTCTTGCTGCTGCTTCTGTAGGAACTCTTGCTCCTGAGGAGCCAGAGAGAAGAGGAGCAGTGAGAGGAGGCCGAGATGAGCGTGCAGAGGGACAGCAAAGAGCAAGAAAAAGAGAAGAGCACAACACAAAAGAATGTGTCTGGAGTATCAAAAACGGCCTGAAACTGAAATGACATCCACTTAAAGTTCAGAACAACACAGAAGCACTAAGATGTCACATCATCAACTGGGCCAGTAGAGGAGACACTCAGAGATCATGGATGGCAATGATCCACAATGGAGGTGAAGAGAGAGAGAAACGTTAACGGTTCAGTAAAGACACAGATTCACTGTTTAATGTGAGACAACATCGACATTGCCGTCCAGAGCTCAGCCTACGTTATGCATGACTCATTACACAAGCAGCCAGAATGATCTATTCATTACATTTTCTTTACGCATAATACAAAATAAAAGATTTTGTCCATCTAGCGTTCGTTATTCACTATCATTAGGTGTAATTCATTAAAAGAACCTACAATAGATCATATTATACTGCTGCTAACTCCAAATAAGGATGGTTCAAATTTGATATTGTAACCAAATAACGCACACAACCAGTGACTTCTCCATCCATCTTGTAACTGAGGCAGTCGGATTATATTTGGACCTCGGCTGACGGAGACAAACATGGATCCAGACAGAAAGAGGATCAGCGACTACATCGCCGCTGGGAGAGAGCACCGTTTACTCCACGTCACGGTGCAATACAATACAAATCCCACATAAAGTACAGGGACTGGATGTTGAACATTTGTGAATACTGAGCAGGAGAGAGAAAGAGAGAGAGAACCACCGCACAAACACAGGGATGGGAACACTAAAAAACAAAACACCGCCCATGCTTACATGTGTGGTTCTTAAAACTAAACCATCACAGACTATAACCTGTCACTACATCTAAGTATGGGCCAGAGATGGATAGAAACAGGGCGTAGAGGAGGGGGGGGGGGGAACTTACATCCTGCATCTGAGCGTTGAAGAGTGCGCATGAGGACAACTGAAAAGACTGAATCATAACCTGGGCCACTGCCTGTGGAGGAGAGCACACAGCGCACTCATCCTGATCAGGGACAGATAGCAGGCTGAGGATCTCTCTCACACACACACACACACACGCACACACACACACACACACACTCTGATTCTGAAGTTATGTAAGAGATTTTTCCCCGTTGGGAATTTCGGTGAGTTTAAGGCGCACAGCACAGTTCTGGCTAAATGTTAGGAGGGAGTTAATTAATAAGTTATTAATACTCTTCTGGTCTTCTCATGCTTGAAAAGCGGCACTTGAGCTTCATCCAACTTGCAAAGAAAAAAAAAAAAAAAATGAAATAATAAAAAGCAGTTTTGTTACGGTCCATGCTACTGGCTCATGGAGTGTCTACGTGTTCCCTTTCAAAAGAAAAGAAGGCCTTTGTCCACACGACTCGTGTTTGATTCATGAAAGATGGAAAAGGGCTTTCAGTGCAGACGTCTATCGCTCGCTTGTTAATGAATTCACTACGTGATAAACACTCAGCGGTACTCTGTGGTGGGGAGCAAACTGAGAGTGGACACTTATGACTCATCATCAGCATTTTGTAGCACCACTGAAAACCGTAAGTTCCACATAAGTGATCTCAGGAGAAAAGGTGAAGGACGGCATTGTAGAGTGTTTACTAGTAGTGTGTATGTATATATATATATATATATATATATGCTCTGGATAGTGGCTTCATACAGCCACATATGGACTCAGTTGAAATGGTCGACAGGTTTCTATAGACCCAAGATACGGAGCTAACAGACGGCGTGATTCCTGTGTTCATGTAAATACTTCACAAGAATGAATCGGGTTGTGGAGAGGTCGGGAGAAGGAGAGAGAGAGAGAAACCTTTCACAGAGGAGGAGACAGCCGGTGACGGTTTACCTCTGCAGTCTTAAGGAGCGATAGATCCTCCTTTATGCGTTTCATGAGCTCTTTTCTCAAATGTTTGGGTGACTGTCCGACTTCCAGTTGGACCTACAGTGTATGTGCAGAAACTGGTTGATGCTGTTGTACTCTGAAAATCTAACAAAGCTTGCAAACAACAGTAGAAGACATGCGCGGCCCACTTTGAGAGGAGAGATACTGAACCCAGCCACCGAATGATCCAAAGTCAGCATGCGTGATTATGTTCCTTTGATTAGTAGCACGTCAGAACCGGAAGTTTGAACTGAGTTAAGAGTCAAGACATGAGGTTGTCAAAAGAAGAATTTGACGAGTACACGGCAGATGTTAATCGCTAACACGGTATTACTTTGCATTCAATTAAGTCCCTCAGTCATCAAGATGATTAATTTGCCTCCAGAGATTAAATAAGAGTAACTGATGTGGAATCATCGGAGACTACTACCTCTGAATGTCATTCCTCTTAATGCGACTCTATTAGCCATATCTGGTGGCTAAACTAAACCAGCTAGCACCGTGTGGTGCACCCATCTGTGTGTGGGTCCATTAGAGTAGCACCACCTACACTTCAGTCACTGCTGATGGTGCTTTTGTCGAGGTTGCTTATTATTTAGCGTTATTGCAGCATAAAGGCGCACACCCCTCGGCCGCTAACCGGTGTTTTCCGTTCTATTTATTTATTTTTTGATGTACTTGTTTATACTTTAACAATCTGTGTTGCAGTGACAGTATACTGTGTATGTTAAAGATGATTCCATATCAGTTACTCGGATGCAAGGCGGTTATCATTTCCCCAAAAGAGCCCAACACCACTCGGAAAAGATCTTCATAAGTCGGCCATCCCGTGACCAAAGCCACCGCAACACACTCATACAAGAGACACGGTTAGTTAAATACACAATAACAGTACATCTTGAATACAGAGCACAACGTTGCAAACAAAAAGTATCAAATATGTGCATTTTATCAATAGCTAATAACTTGTATCTTCAGCTGAACAACCACGACAAAGTACAAAGCTGAGAAGCAACCACTTTAAGCCAACCCTGCAATAATATTTTTAACCACAATAAATGATATTCTAAGTGGCCCAGGCAGCAAATTGCAAGCAGCACGACCACCACCAGGCATCATTAATGCACAATGGCTGCCAATCGGCACTGACGCCATGAAAAACAAAAAAAAGCTGCAAAACACAAAAAACTGCAAGCACACCCAGAACACCCAAAAGAAGCATTTTGAGGCAGCACGATAAGGTAAATGTTTAACCTAAGACTGAACTTTTTATTTAATAGTTCTCTAAAGACTCGGTAGCTCAGTGCTGCTCAGGAGGCAACCAGAAGCCTCGGGGCAGATGAATAATGGATACAGCAACATGGAGCTAGCAGCATCGAGGAGAAGGACCGCACAGACACGTACAGTATAAAAACAGCGAAGGCACACCCCTCCCTCAGGATTAATGGGACACAGCCAAGTCTGCCGCCGGCTGAGTCGTTAAACACATGCACCATTAAACAGCTCGGATCTATGACATGCAAATGATTACCACCCCAAGCTCTCCCTAGCTCGGAGCCGATCAGCCCGTCCATGCAGAAGCAGCCGTGCGCCACAGTACCTCCTTCTTCCGGTTCTTCAGCATGTTTTGGAACTTGGAGAGCTCCTTGTCTTGATCCGCTTTGATGCGCTTGGCTTCGTCTCGGAGCCGGCTGGTGTGGTCCTGTTCCAGTCGCTCGATGGTCTGCTTCTGCTTCTTCTCAAGGTTCTCCACTTCTTGGTCATATTGACGCTTCTTCGCCTGCGCGGACAGAATTCAGCAGAAACTCTGGGATCAGCCTGACAAGATCAGTGTTTGTATGTGATCCCATATCATTAGATCAGTGCATATCAACACCCAGCCTTTTATTACTTAGGGAGGGGGAAATTAGTTGTAAAACACATCTGTATGGCTTCATTTTAAGACAGTATGACAGTCCTTCAATCTATATCTGACGGAGGTACTTGCATGATCTGAAGCAGCTTTTTACCTAGGAGTTGGCCAAATAGCAAAATAACAGATCACACCACTGCAGTACGAACACGGTGACTCACAGTAGTTTCCTGTTCAAAGCGGCGGTAGATCTGCTCTCTCTGCTGCTGCAGCTTGTTGCTCAACTGCTGCTGGGCCCTCTGCTCCTCTTTCTGCAGGAGGCGCAGCTCTCTCAGCTCCTGCCGCCTGAGGAAACAACACCGACCTTGTGGTGAGGGGCCACCAGACTTACTCATCTCAAATGAGCTAATGTCATTGATATTTAGGATTTCGTTCAGAAAAAAAACTTTCCTTTTTCCATTTCTTAGATGGGATTTTATGGTTTGTTGCATCTTTTCATTGTATGCGATTTAAGATTGATTACAATGTTAGATTTGATGGTCCTGGCCTCCTCATCTTTGAATTAGTTGTTAAATTGATAAACGCTAACTCTGTGAATTACTGACAAAAGGTCATGAACCAAACATCAAACAGTCAGACAGCATTTGTGTAAACACTCGGAGCAGCACGTCTCATGTCTTTAAAAGGCAACACAGGAGATGACAGTAACATACTCCAGCATTCATCACAGGAGATAACCCATCTGGCATTTGTAAAACTCCGTGGGAGTTGTGAAATGAACTATTTAAGGCGGCCATGTTGAATAGTACGTGTCACACATTTAGAGCAGCAGGAGGGTATAAACGTACCTCAGGAACCTCATCTCTTCGCTCTTGGTGTCGTTATCGGTCACTATCTTTGATGTCGTCACACTGACCTCAACGCCATCCACCATGAACTTACGCGTCTTCTTCAGAGTCTTCTTCTGACGTCGCGACTCCTACAAATAAAACAGGGCTCAAATTATCCGAAAAGTGTTGACAATTTAACAACTGAGGTTGTAAGCTACGCACACATTCTATTACCTGCATAGACACAGAGCCCCCTTCTTTACTCTTTGACAGGAAGCTGGAGATGGACAGATTGAGCTCAAGGCTGTTGCTATCAGCAGCAGAGCTGCTTCCAGAGTCAGAGTCCTTCTCCAAGTCTGGCTTGATCACAGCAGGGCTTCCGTGCTCCATCTTGCTTTCTGAATCCGTTTCACTCTCTCGTACGGAGACGGCGTCTTGGGAAGTGCTCTCATCTGCCCGAGGAGCGTTCTCTTCATCTTCCTTCACAGGGACATCTTTACATGGGACCACTTGTTCCGAGTCCTCAGAGGAGACTTTGGCTTCATCACTGACTGCCTTTGTGGATTCAGTTGGGGCTTGTTCCTCCAGATCAACCTCCGCCTCGGCCCGACTCTCTTGTTCATCCTCTGGCTGACTCTCTTTAGCCTCTTTCTCCAACAGAACCACGGCAGACGACTCATCCATGCCCAACTTCGTGTCAGTGTCTCCATATATGTTCTTGTCCACCACATTTGATTCTATATTCTGCGTGTCTATATTTACACCTGTGCCATTAGCAGAGTCGTCTATTCTGTCTTCTGTCACGTTATGCTGAGCTGTCTCATCTGACTCTTTGCTTTCTTCTTCTGCCTGAGCCACTTCCCCTGATGTGGAGTCTGGTTCTGGTTCTTCTGGGGCATCTTCAGGTTGCTTTTGGGAGTCTCTGGATTTTTCTGTAGCAGCATCTTTTTCTTCTTCTTCTTCATTCACCTCCGCAGGCTCTTTTTCTACTTCTATAACTTCTGGAGGTTCATCCTCTGCTTTCTCTAGTTGTGTCTCCTTCTGTTCCTCCTCTGCTTCTTGAACATCTTTCACAAGCTCTTGGGAGTCCACTGTCTCTCCAGGTCCTTCTGGCTGTGACACTGCAGGCTCAGCAGGAATCTCTTCAGCTTGACCATCTCCTGGTCTAGTAGGCTCTGTAGGACCTTGTGAGGATACGTCCTTGGTGGGGTCTACTAACCCAGAGGCCAGGTCTTCATTACTGGCGTCAGACACCTCGTTGAGTTTCTCCTCCTCGGTCTTGTCTACCTCACTTGTTCCAAGTCCTTCATCAGAGAGCTTATCACTGATCCGGTCCTCGGCAGGCTCGGCCTCCGTCTTTTCTGTCACAGACTCCAGCGTGGAGGGAGTTGGTGGGACTTTGTCCTCCTCTGAGCTGGCCACACTGGCATCTGACGGCGCTCGCTTGTGCCCAGAAGCCGCCTGAGCCAACAGATAGAAAAATAACAATATGTCTTTCCTGAGGATATTAACATCTCATACGTCACTTAAAATATATATTGTGTTGAGTGCTATTACACTTGGTATATACATAGACCTAATAAAGCTACAAACCACAGGTGTGTCAGGCTCTTCCTCCTCCTCCTCCTCTTTGCTATCCTCGATCTCCTCTGTGACTTCAGCTGTGGCTTCAGCTATGAGCTCTCTGAGAGGTCTGCTATCGGTTACACTGGTGACAAAAGGATGCTACATAGATGGACAGGGACACAAGAAATACACATCTTCATCCTTCATAAACTGTTGAGTCACATATCAGAACAAACAGCAAAACAGAAAATGACTATTTGAGTGTGCATGCGTTCTTTGGGCTGTATAGTAGGCCGAGTAGATATTTGCGTAATGTGAGGTAGCAGCTCACCTGTAGAAGCTGTAGCGTACCCCACCTATTGTCCACATTCTTATCAAGCGCTCTCCGCAGAAAGTCGTTAAATTCTGGTGACCTTTGAAGAATAAATAAAACAGAATCAGTCGGTTGGAGCAAAGTAAGTGTCCCTGGGCGCTGCTTTGCGAAATACAATTAAATACCATTCACCCCCCCCCCCGTGGCCGTTCAGTTAAGCAATAACAATCCACTAAGCTTTAACAGTCAAGGCATCCTTATCTCCAATCCGGAAACATTCCGGTGCCACCTCTCTAGTCATCACCGGCGCTCCGTCTCACCAGCGAGAGGGATGCATGAGTGTGGGCGGCTCGGCCTTGGCTATTTTCAGCAGCACTCTCATGGGATTCATCTCGTGGTTGGGTGGCTCAATCTGCGCCACCTCTATAAGGGTCACTCCCAGGGACCAGATGTCGGCCTTGTAGTCGTACGGACGGTCCTTGGACGTTTCGCACATCACCACCTCTGGGGCCATCCTGCAAAATTAGAAGACCGTGGGTTTGCAATTAGCATGGAGCTAATTTTGGACTGCGAGTGTGTTTTTTTGATATCTTCCTGATCCCCGACGGACAATTCTCTTCAATCTTCAAGGGGTAAAAAGACAATAACAAAGCCTGTATGTCAGTCAGGGATTTGAAAGATAGGAAGCCTATTCAGTATTTAAAGCTGAGGTCGTCCAACACAGTGTCTCTAAATTGCTGAATGGGGCCTTTTTCCGTTTCCACATTCCATGACAGCTTTTTGTGCCGCAGCAAAGAAAAGGCAGAGCTGTGAGACACGCTCGGATGGAAAAGGGGAAAATGCTCTCCTGTGTGCCGGCTGAATGACTCACCAATACGGAGTGCCGATGAAAGAATCTCTTCTCTGGAACGTCTTGGTATTTTTAGCAGACACCCCGAAGTCAGCTGAAAGTAGAAAGGATTATTTTTAAACTGTATAATAACATATATGACATTTCTACAAGAGTCACCCAGGTATTACAGAATGCTTTCGTAGCTAACCTGCTTTTAAATATAAACCCCATAAGAAAAACCTCAATCTCCCATTCTCATCATCACTCTCAGCGGTTCTGTTACCTGTGAAACAGTTTCAGGCCCCCCCATCACTTACAGTACACACACATTAGAGGGAAAGACAGATCTATCATTAAGTCCCTGGTGACTGCTTGATAATTATTGTTTGCCAGGCTCCGCCATGACCCTCTGCCTACAGAAGATGAATCATCAGGGAGCCAGCAGCTGTGGACAACAGCAGCAAAATGAATACTTTTACTTCTGGAATATATTATGTAACAAGCTCAATGTATCACCAACTCCAGTACATAAGTGCGATATACAAAATGCAGTCATTTTGTTTTGTAACTTCTTTTTTTTAACTTAACACTGCAGGAATGACTCACTCCAGGGTTATGGTTTGTAAACACAGGCCTGTGCACTATTATCCCAAAAAGTCACATAGCTCAGCTGGTTGCCACAGCACTGATGGCAAAGGGATCCACAATGGACTTTACTAATTAGCCTTTTAAGTCTTTTAGTGTTGGTCCTGCAGGAAGATTCAGATTCAGAGTGGCCACCAAGGACACGTGAGACAGAAGTCAACAATGAATCAGCTGAGCAAGTACCTTAATGTGTGCTTAGCGGGAACACGAGTGAATAATCCCATCACGTTAAGAGAAATATTAGGAGCATCGCAGCGGCAAAAAGATGACAGATTGTTACCCAGTTTCACTTCTCCATCCAAAGAGAGGAGGATGTTCCCGGCCTTCAAGTCTCTGTGGATGACTTTGTTCTCGTGGAGGTAAGACAAGGCCTCCAGGGTCTGGCGGCACACCACGCGGATCTGGGGCTCCGTCAGGGGCCTCTCGAGTTCTGTGGATGAACGTGCACACAATAAATTCATCAGCGATTACGGTTGTGGTGAATGTTGTCTTTGTGATCGGCTTTCAACAAACACAGGCTGGCGATTTTGACACCAGCCTGCATGTCTGAACGAACTAATCCGGGGGAAGGGATTTGTTCGAGGTGAGTCAAGACCACAGAGCATCAACATCCAGCAGCGAAGTGAATTAACTGGAAGCCTCTTCTTCGTAATTCACATGTAAGAGAGAGTGGCGAGAGGTGTTTCTTCAAGCTTTAAAATAAGAAGGAGAAGCTGCAGCGTTAGAAGTGGACTAACCACTCCTTGAAACCTGAGCTACAATAATTGCACAGTTGGAATGGCCTTTGCAACTACAGAGAGGGAAACAAATCCCACAGAGGAGGTTTCTGGATGGAATAACACAAAAAAAATAAAAGAGTTGGCACTTGAGGATGGAGCAACGAAAAAGCTCCAGAACTTTATGGTGTTTTCTGTTTCCTGCAATAAATGAGGGACTTACCCAGCATGATGGCATCCACTGCACCACCCGCACAGAACTCTATCAGAATCTGAAATGGAGAAACAAATCGGAACAATGAGTCAGGTTTACTTTAAGGCAATGGGCCCCCAATCTATGCCCTTTATAGCAGAGCTGGGACCACCAAATAGGTCATTTCATATCTTGAATAACAATACATATACATGATACAGCATGTTTTCTGCAAGATCAATAAATAGTCTATAGGAAATAACCACATGGTTAAGCCTATTGTTGTATAAGTATTTTCTTATTTTATTAAGAACTTTAGTGCAAAATGAACAGTTTTAAGGGAAACTATAGAGAAAACATGTATAAATATTTCCAGCTATGCACTGAGTATGTTTACATGCATTCACACAAATAAAGAATAATTAAATTAAGACAATATGTGTATTTTACTGAGCTTGATCACATTTTCGGGGAAATTTGAGTAGCACATGCTTGTTATTATCAATTTAGACTATGTAATCACGATATCTCCATATACGATTCCATTAAAAGACAATAAATTATCATAATGAATTATTGCTAAAGCCCTACTTTATAGGAAATTTATTTCTATGTTATTGATTACACTGTCAGACATTACAAGAAGCTAATCGATCAGACGCTCCACAGCCTCACTGAGCATCCTGTGAAGACGTATCTTTTCTTTTCCATTTCAGGACAATCTTTATGTTTCAATCGTTGCTGGGTCGAAATATCAGCAAAAGGTTCTCGTTGCAAGCTGGAGACGGGGACTGGGCGGTCAGCCAATCCTACAAAATAAACTCTCATCCTTCAGTGTGCAAATGCTCTGTGGGTCTGTCTACATGAGACTCGTACATACTGATGAAAAATCCTCAAATCACCTAAGAAGAGAACTATGGATTCAGCATTTTTAGTGAACTGTGTGAAGTGCATTAGATGAACATAACACGGTTCCCTAATACTGTTACAGAGATGTAAAACTCCCAGCTCCTGTTCTCAGATGTAATGTAACCGACAACCACTTCATATTTATTGGCACCAGTTAGTTGACAGCTCTTGGTATCAGATGATACAAGAAAAATAAATCAATCAAAGCTGCAACAGGGCACCGCCTTCTATTGAGAGACTCAAACAAAGAGGAGAAACCAAGTGGTTGTTCCTGTTTTGCATAACAATTCATCGCTCCATAGAAATCTGTAGTTTACATTGATTCTGATTATCTTAAATTGAACATCATGCATGCGAATAAATCGTTTTTCAATGATTAACATTAACTTAACACCCAACAACGTGTGCTGAGCAGAAGCAGTTACACATTCATCGTGCTGCTTATAGACGGGGACGGGGGCCGGAGGGACAACCTGCATGCCGCTCTGAATTATTCAGGCACTTTCTCCAGCCACCAGAACCACTACGTTATCTTCCAATAGATGTGGCCAGTCCACAAGGGGCGGTCACATGACACCACCCGCCAGGACCTAATTGCTCGGGGGCCTCTTACCGCACGCAGAACGAGATCTACTGACCGTCTATTAAAAGTGCACTGTGATGTGTTTAGAGCATCCGACTGAAAAAAGCCTCGCCGCTATCGTCCCTTAATCGAATGATATAAGAGTCCTTAACGAATAGTTAAGGACGGCATTAACGAATAGTGGCTCGTGGTGAAGTTTGTGCATCGCCTTGCGTGACTGGTTCACTGGCTCAGTGTCTCCTTGGCTTCAAATCAAAACCAGTTCACTGAGTCGGGCACTTTGCTTACTCACCCATAGTTTGCCTTCAAAATAGAAAGCGTCCAGCAGTTTGACGATGTGATGGTGGTCGCAGGAGGCCAGAATTTCAATCTCGACCATATAATCTTCTAATTCATCCTCCGTCTTTGTGTCGATCACCTTGGCGGCGGCGAGGGTCCCGTTCTGCTTGTTCTGAGCCTGTAAAAGCAACATTGACGACCAAGGCTCGTATCAATTGAGCATGCTGTTCAATAACGTGCTTTCTGGATTACAGAACAACCAGCTGGGCTTTAGATGGCCATGGAGGACCATCCATCAACGCTCACAGTTTCCTTTAAGACAATAGCCGTTCGGAGCCGGAGCAATGCACACTTTACGGCTGGTGTAGCACCTAGAGGATCATATCTCTATAAATACATTTCACAGAGACTTTATAATAACACGTCGTTATACATCGGAAAGGAAAAGTACTGTAGAAAACCCACAGCAACAATTTGAAAGACTAAATATTTACAATGCGCCCCATCATCTTCTAACCGACTCTAACAAAAGCTCTCTTCAATCTGTCCTTTCCCTTTGAAACACCCGCTGAAAGGTCACAGGTGAAGCAGGAATTTAGAGATTATACCAAATAAATCTATGATGTAATAGATCTAACAGGGAAATGGTTAATGCTCGTCTGCATTGGGAACAGATGCCCCAAAGTCTTCAATCCCGATCAGGCTGTAGTGAAAGAGACTAATAGGAAAAATGACCCCACACCCGTGAAACAAGTCGCTGAGGGGTTATTTTAAGGCCAGCTATGGACACAGACACAATCTTGGGAGAGTTGAGGAAAAAGAAAAGGGAGGGAGTACGACCACTAACTAGCTGCAGAGTGTGTCACACACTATATTTACACAGTAGTGACCTGACACACTCCCTGTCTCTTTCTCTTTGTACTGGCCGACGCCTGTCTAGCACGGGTCATCACCAACACACGTGCACAATATTAACTTTGTCTAAACCTGTGACGTATGATCAACTCTATGTACTCGTCTGTTTTGAGGGATTATATACAACAAATAAAACAACCCTGCACTTTATCAAAGTGATCTCTTAAGACGAGCGAATAACTTCACCAGTCTGAATGTGGATAGTTGTAATAAGGACAAATCTAACGCCGTGCTCCAGCTGTATCGTCCAAAACGAATGGCATGCCTCTTCACTAATTAAAAGGCGCAGTTGAACCTGTGTTTACAGTTCTGGTCTCCTCTCTCTTTCACTCTCTAGAACCGCTGATTCACACATTGCTGGCCACATTGCTGGCCACATTTGTCACCCCGCCCCGAATGCGCCTGCCATCGAAAGCCTGCGAAATAGCTGGTGAAATACGTCGTCGTCTGATGTTGAGTAACGTGACCCCGATGAGGGCAAGTCCTTCCTCCGTCTGTGGGATGTGAACAGGGGAGTCAATACATTTGTCTACGACTCGAGTCTAAGAAGACGTTAAGAGTCTGCTGGCTCCTCATCACCGTTAGTTAATCAGCTCATACGACATGCAAATGATTGTCTGGACCATTAGCTGCATTGTTTGATCGCAAGAGTTCCAGGAAGGAACAGTATAAAGGGGGGGGGGGGGAAGAGAGAGAGAGAGAGAGAAATTTAACCTCCACACAAATATACAGGTGTATGAATAGAGCCCATGTTGTTGATCTTTTCAAAGTGTTCTCGGCCCAAATACAAGTTCAAGCACAGATAACCTGGAGGAGGTGCGTCAGCTGAGATTACAGGTGGTGTTTGTCTGTATAATCCAACACAGAAGGAAATGACTCGTCTCTGGCACTCTGTCAAAAAAAACCTCCACGAGCATTGTTTTGGGAGATATTTCATGACATCACGCTGTATTGGTGTTGTGGGTATCGAGTCCACCTCATGTTTAATAAACACTTATGTATTGATGGTAACCTGAGCTGACAAACCTCTTCACTACATGTACATTCACACCTGTCACAGTGTACGGCATATAAACAAAGTACTAGCATATTTGACTTTTTAAAAAGGCACGTGCTCTATGATTTATTTTCCTGTTTATCTGCGTCCTCAACCTTAGACAATGCCGTTTGACATTTGTGTGGCCATGTTTATTCTGTGGTGGTGAACCACACCTTCAACAGTTTGACTGAGGCCAAGTGCAACTCAATGACAAGGCAAAGTCATACTCACAACTTGGCAATGCAACTAGGCCCCTGCCTAAAAACATCCAAAATATGGGAAATACCATTTGACATACTTAAATAGGTGAGCTTTAAGCTGCCACCACACACTTCCTGCTAGGTCATGTTTCTGCAGACGATGGTTTCAAGTACAGTAACGTTGTACAGTGTGAGCTGTATGATGCATAGCATGCATCATTGAGGGTCTAGACTAAAGGATGTGGAACCCTGCTGTCATGTTTTAATGATCTTATGCAACAATATGAGACACAAGCGGAAGCGAATGTCTCAAGAATCGGTTATAAAGCCCCGGATGTAAGACATGAAGCTAACTCAACGTGTTTACCTTGTAGACTTTCCCAAACGCTCCATCTCCCAGCTCCCCAATGATGTCCCATATCTCCTCCGGGTTAACGTCTCTGTGCACGTGTTCGTACTGCTTCTTCTTCCTATCGGGTCCCAACTTGAATATCTTCCGAAAATTGAAGAAAGACATCTTTTTTTTTGTGTTGGAGGATGTGATCTAACAGCGCAGAGGATGCGGTGTGTCTCTTCGGTTGTTTCTGCCACGAATATAATAATAAAGCGGTTCACAGCATACGGGCGTCAAATGAAGAGCAGACAATGTGCTATTGTGGCCATTCAGCTGTGTGATAATAGCAATTAAAACTTCCCCCGACGGCTGTTATTCATAATCACATCACAGCTAACGCTGATCGAGGAGATGAGGGATACAGAGAAGAGTTCGCTGTTACGCACAGGCTCGCATTTCCGTTTGTAAAAATAATTCAACCAAATAAAAACGGCGAATACATCGACCATATCTTCACGCTCGAAGCGATATATATTTTTTAAATATAATTTAACGTTAGCGAGTCCTAAACGGAGAGTCAAAAGATCCCATACTTCGGTTGGCTGACCACGCATAAGTTAGCGGACCAGCGTCAGGTTAGCTAACGTAACGCTACTTGAATAGCTTTACGTTAAAAAAATAAAACCGTTATTAACGAACAGCTGTACAATACGCTTTGAAATAAAGGACCCATTCCTGTAACAAAATGCAATGTAACATTAGCTGTCTTCATGCTATTTTTGTCAGTGGGGATCTTGCTAACAATGAAAGATACCCACTAAATGCTTTTACTTTGGAGGGTAGATGTAGCTATTTCCGCTGTCAGCTGGTCTGTCGGTCGTTAGCTTGACGCAGTTACGTTAGCTGTTTCCTGGATCTCCTCTCTGCAGGACGCGCTGAGCGGCTCAGCCCCTCGGCTCTACCACGCATGCTAGTTGTGTTCCTGTCGTCATGAAGAGGAAATAGAAGTTGTTTTGTTCGGGCTAGGCCCCACATTATGTTACAAGGAGTCAGATGATGTGGATTAATTGATCAATTCCGCCAATTCACAGTAATTAAGCAGTCATAGCCTGGGACTATTACAACCTACATGTTTAGAGCATGCATAACCTTATGATTCAGTTTAATTGGCCTTTAATACCTTATTATTTTTATTTTAATAACTCACAGTACACGTGGGTATGTCAGTCGCCACATCAACACACTGGCACAGGCTACCTTAAGATACTAAGGATTCCTGTTGCACATTAATGTACTGTTGGATCACAACACGTTATTGTAAAATACACTCACTCATGTTTAGTTTTTGTGTCTTTTAAGATTTTAGTTCTAGTAGTAAATAACTTGACACTGACTGAACACATGACGTTATAGGGGTGAGAGCAGTATTAACATGCTTTAAAAGTAGTAATACTAAACAATGTAAACAAGTTCTGCAATAAACATTTTACAAATGTATTTTTTTAGAGTACAGAAGTGTCATAATCAAACTGTAGTATCAAGGTATTGAGCTTGAGGAACTCATAATTTGAAACAAATTATCAGAAATTTAAACTAATCATATAATGTGTCAAATCTGAATCCGGACAAAAAAATTAAAAACTACAGCTCTCAAATAAATGTAGGCCTACTGGAGTAAAAAGTACAATATTTCCCTTTGTAATGTAGTGGAGTAGAAGTAGAAGAAGGCATGAAACACTCAAACAAAAATACTTTAAAACTGTACTTCAGAAAATGCACATTGTTCTCCATGTTTGCAGAGTGCAAATAATTGTAATAATAAAATGCACCGCTTTATTAAAAAAGGGTAGCTGCTTTGTTTTAGTGTTGTGTAGCGCCCCCGTGTGGGGAAATTAAGTATATGTTATTCTCCTCTTCTCCTCCATTCTCCTCGTGGATTTATGCCCCTGCCTTCACTTGGAAGGAGCGAATTCGTTTGCCATATATGCAGACGGAAAATGTGCTTTTTTTTCATATAGGCTGTATATATTTGCTTCTCTCCAAACTCTCAATGGCTTTCAGAGCGACAAGAAACAATTCACAAACAGTCTGACGTCTTCAAAGGGTTCCGTGCAGAGTGTCCAGCCAGCTGCAGCGGGACCGCCCCGCTGTCCAGCCCCCCTTGAGGGAGGAGAACACCGATTGAAAACCAACTTTTATCGCGTTGTCATGTTTCACGAGGAGTCCAGAAGCTCCGAGACCGTCCTGACTACATCGCTTTTATGGATGCACCCAAAGTTTCTCCTTCTACCAACTTTTGTTTTTTTTAATACTCAGTATCGTTTCTATGGGTGAGCATCTTCTTTTGTAGCGTTTCTTTGGTGCGAACCCTCCATTTGGTCAAGATGCAGCTCCGAAACGTGCTTGACGTTAACGTTGTGGACGTGCAGAAGAGAAGGAACCCGTCCAAACACTATGTAAGTTGTCTCTTCCTTCTGGGTCCACGCTGTCGTGTAGTTGAAGTGACGTTAGTTATTTACTTTACAAATGTTAACATTGGGCTCCAAATTATAAAGCGCGTCGCCAGCAGCTCCATGCATAAATAACAATGTCCGCTGCAGGTCCACCACTTCGCCACCGACTTTAATATCCTAACAACAGTTGGAATGATAAGCCTTAAACTTTTGAACAAACATACAACTTGTCCAGAGGATAAAAATCACTTTTGTGTTCCCCTGGATTTTCATGTGGTGCCACCATGAGGAATTGCATTTGAGTTAAATGTGGATGGATGATGGTTTGACGTGGTACCTGACTTCTCATCTAGTGCCATCGACAGGTCAAAAGGTTCATTTGTGCAATGTTTTGGTTTAGGTTGCATGGTCGGTTATGAGCATGTTAGCATTCTGACATTATGGTTGGGGGGGGGGGGGATACCAGAAAGGCTCCCTTTGGTGGCTGGAGGGACTAGTTTAATTAACTGACAGCAGCTCGTAGGCTGATGAGAGAAAAAGTAAACAGCTTACAAGCCAGCAGCGGTATTGAAGAGTTAGAGCCACAGCAGCATCCAGCCAGCGGAATGTTTGCAGGTAAGCTCTTTACATGCTGTTTAATGTGCCGCAGCTGACCAGCAACTTAACTAATCTGGCCTGCAAACTGACATTAGCTGTGCACTCCCCCCCCCCCGTGACTGTTTGATGCAGGACAAGATGTGTTCATTATCTGTGAAGATAGATAACCACGAGACTTTAGCAGGAAAACTAATCTAGGTTGTTGTTCGAAGACTGTGGCCCTCAATGTTTGTTGTGTAGCAGTGTGGCCATCTGTCTATGATAGTACAGTGTTGATACTGCTTTATCCAACTAAGTTATAACCTTCAGCTGAGCCAAAAAGTCTTCAGCTCCTCCCAGACATTCATATTTCTCCATAATCTGGACATTCTTTTCACTGTCAGTGAAACACACTGGATTCAGTGGAGTTCAATGCAATAATAGATTTACTTTGTAATAATGCAGTAAGCCGTGGACTGGTTCATGAAGCAGCTCAATAAATTCAGTGTAAATAACCACATGTGCATCAATTCCACTTATTTTTGTTTGCGCTTGTCTCCGTTCAATACATTATCACTAGCACTTTTCCTTTAACCAAATTTGGAGTTGTTTATCAAAACACAACAGTGTCAGTAAGTGTGGCCTAATAGTCAATCCCACCCATGCATTTCCCGTGCACTTTATTCTGTTAAAAACAATGCCTTTGTCTTCATCAGCCTTTTGTCAATGTTACAACTTCTTGTTGTCATCCGGGTCCACCTGGCTTCCCATCCCACACCCGTGCTGCAGAGACTGGGTTCTCACAAATGATCTCTGTGGGACTGAGAAGATAAAGGCTTCTCACAGGATACATTTCAATACCTTATCACATAGTGAGGATACATTTCAATACCTTATCACATAGTGAGGATACATTTTAATACCTTATCACATAGTGAGGATACATTTTGATAACTTATATCTGTGAAACTGACTAAACAAGAGCTCCTCGCAGTCTCAGAGAGAACACATTGCACACATTTAATTAATACAGGCAGTTATACAAGACAAATATAATCTTCAGAAATTGACACCACAGTAGTCAGAGAACTAATGGTACTCTGGCAAATTAATGAATAAATCGATGGTTCCATGGTGAAACCATGATTTTAGTTTCGGAATGGTTTCAAGGGAGAACTCAAGACAAGTGATACAGAGCAGATATATATAAAAACTTTCATTTCAGTTGGAGTTTGGATTATGTGCCTCGGTCATGATTCAGTGTTTAGTCAAACTGTATTGCAGATCAATACCAGCTGAAATCACAACCATCAAGTTGACAACTGTTATGTTGATATTTTATACACAAAACATACTCTCCCACGTTCCACTTGAAGAAAAATGATTGGACTGTGCGTTGGACATGAAGAGGGAATAAACAAAGTAACAAAAGTTTCTTTACCACCTGAAAGCTTAAGTTCTGTTTTTCTTAAGTCATTTGTTTGTACATTTCAGGTTCGGGCCATTCAGTTTTTTTCCACATAAAATACACGTTTGCTGGAAAAAATCTATGTACCAGTAGCTTTTCATTAAAATAGCAAGGGTCATATTGATCTATTCCACGGGAGGGAACGTACTATCCGTATGGCTCCACACCCATATGGGAAGCAGGACTTAGTCCTGCTTTGGCCAGACATATCCCAAGGTAAGCATCATCAATAGTAATAGTATCAATGGACTTGGACACCTCGTATCTGACCAAAGCTGTGTGGACAGACATGATGATGCCCGCACCACTACAGTACGGAGGGAAATATTCTGACTTGTACAGATCAACTAAAATGAAATACTTGCTCCATACATCTCTGATTAGAGGTGAATAGACCATCAGATTGCCAATGAAGAGGCACTTGCTTCCATTGTTATCTGTGTGGGCTTGGAGATACTCAACCATGTTGTTTGTGTTGGCAAAGACGTCATCATCACTATTAAGTAAGAAGCGAGCATGACAACAGTTTCTTTCCAACCATTCAAGGAAGAGTATCTGCTTCAGGGTGAGATTATAGAATTAATCTTTAAAGTCCCATTAAAGGATGTCATTGTACTGACGATGCTCCAGTTCAAGGAGTTTGTTTAGTCTATCTCCCTCCCAACCAGCATCCATAGTTCCTACGATGAAGATCCTCCGAATATATGCATACCATTTTCTGACCTCTCTTCAGCCCATGTTTTGTGCAGAACCTCTCGGCGGTCGTAGTTAGAAGGGGAGCTTTTAACAAAAAAAAATGTAAAACAATTTAAAAAAAAAAAGAAAAATGTAATTGAATCAATTTAAAAAATGTAAAAAAGTTGAATTGAATCAACTTAAAAAATAAAAAGTGGATACACTTAAAAAATGAAATAGAGTCAACTTAGAAAATTTAAAAAAAATGTAATTGAATCAAATAAAAAAATGTAATTGACTCAACTTTATGTTTTCTGTAGCTTAGAAAATGTGGAAGGAGCAAGTGCCAAAAAACTTACGGAAGAAATATAATCGGAAGAAGTTGAATAAAGTTTCAAAGAACAATACTTGGAATGCTGAAGCAGCATTCCAAGTATCACAAATATAGTTAAGAGTTTGACATTTTTTTTGAATGTCTTAATTTCAAA